AGAAGAGTGCCGTCATGGTATGCAACGAGAACAAGGAGGAACCAGTAGAACATAGGTGGAAGTGGGGCGTCGAGGAGATTGCAGTAGTGGACCAGTACACATACCTCGGAGTAGAGTCGCAAAAGACTGCTCGTGGAATGCACACATGACCAAGGTAGCGCAAAAGGGCAAAGCACGAGTAGGGAAGCTGCACCCCATACTCGCAAACCGGCACCTCGATACACGCATCAAATTGACGGTTTTGAAGAGCGTAATCGTACCGCCGCTAGAGTACGCCGGAGAAGTATGGGAAGGAAATAAGAAGGTAGTGAAAGAACTCGAGGGGGCGCATATAATAGCAGCGAAAATCATCCTAGGATGCTCCAAGCGCACAAGTAATGCAGCCGTGAGGGCAGAATTGGGGATCCAATCCCTACGGTCGGGAAGAGACGCGAGGAAGCTGACATGGCAGTATCGCATGTGCGGGATGGGAGAGGAGGGGTTGCCGAGATTTGTATGGGAGGCGAAGTAGGCAAACACAAGGAGGGGTAGACAACCCACGGTATGGGTCAAGGTTGTAGAGGACGTATGGAAGGGGCTCGACACGGACGAAGATGAAACGCCGGAAACGGAGGGTCTACAGGGGTTCAAGGAGAAGGTACCTGTTGCTTGTTCCGAGAGAGAACAGAATCTGAGGAAAGAAAAATCCAAGGATAAGGAGGGTCTAGAAGTGTACGGAATGTTGAAGGAAGGAATAGGGTTCAAGGACTACCTACATGGACCAATGGATGCAGGAACAAAGCTTAAGGTCAAATTCAGGACCGGGGACATAGGCCTTCGAGAACGTCGACGAAGACATCGGACGGTAGACGACGAAGACGACGAGTTCACATGCGATAGCGGCTTCGAATGCTAAGACCGTGTTCATGTAGTCGAGGAATGTCCGTTGTACAAGGAGAGGGAAGTGTACGTGATTGAGCTGGGAAAAATAGATGGAACGTACAGGGAGATGTTTGAGGCATGGAATAGAGAGGAAAGGACGGTAGCTGTAGTGGGGCATAGGAGGTGGGTTGAAAAGGCGGGAAGGGATATCGTTAGGATCGACAGACTAGGGAAGACATTTTTGAGCCACCTTTGGTGAAGTAG